GCCGTCTCTCAGGCCGTGGATCTGGCCTGATCGCCCTGAACGGCTGCGGTCGTCTGCTCGGCTTCCATCCCGCGGGGGGTTCGGCCTGCCTCCCCCGCCCCCGCCTCCGCCCCCGCCCCCCTCGACGTCGGGTCCCCGAGGCCCGGGTCCCGCGAAGCCCAGCTGCTTGGTCTGATGTCTGTGAGATGAGTGCGCCCCGCCCCCCCCCCCTCGCCGCCCCTGCTGATGGCGGCTTGGCACCCGCGGGTGCCCCCCGCCCCTGGCAGTCACCCCCTCCTCCCCCCCCGGCGGTCCGCCAGCGGGCTCCGGCGGCTCCACCCCAACCGAGGCCACCCGAGCACACATGCTCCACGCCTGCCGGCCTTGCCCCGGCGCGGCGCCCCCCCTCCCGGAGTCGACCGCCCCTCGGCTCGGGCCCACCCACGGAGCTCGGTGACTGCAGGGTGACTCGATTCCGCAACCCCTCCATGGCCAAGCTGGTCACGAGCACCCACGTGAACCACGGCACGATATGATATCTGGTTCCCACGCTGGGGGAGCTTTTTGAGGCTTCCGCGCGTAAAATCGAAGCATGGGAAGGGGCGTGAGTATAATCGGCTTCGTGGGTCATCCCGGCCCGGGTCCCTTGTGCATGGTTCCAAACAACCAGCGGACCGCGGGGTACTGGCCCCCGGCCCGGGACCGCGCGTTCCCCGGCGGTCCCCCGCGGCTCGCCGGGCACCGCCAACCCGCGCTAGGTACGCGTGTGCACGCGGGAGAACTCGCGGACGTCGGTGTGCGCGCATCCCGACTCTTGGGACCAGGTGGGGGGGGGGGCACGGGCGAGGGCACGGGCGGGGGGCGGGTCCAGCGAGCCTTCAGCTGAGAGCATTCGTCCATGGTCTTCGCACGCATGGCGGCTCGGTGTCTCTCTTGCCGATCATGCAATCACCGTGGGCGATTATCTCTCGGTACTGAGGCCACCCGAGCTGCGGGGCGGTGCTCTTTCATCCAGACCATGGCAGGTCCAGGGCAGGGGGCTAGTTCGGATCTTTTCTTCGCGCACCAAGTGTGCGGTCATTCGTGCGCGGGGGAGGGGATACCTGGGCGCTTGGCGCTCCGGCTGTCGGTTGTTGAAATATCCTTCGGCCGGGCCTCCTCCGCCCGGCCGGAGGTCTCTTCTGAGGACGGTTGTTGTTGTTGTTGTTGTTGTTTTTGCCAGCACAAGGGCCCCCTCCCCATCCCCCATCCTCCCCCCCCCCCCCGAGGGTCCACGAGTTTGTCTGCTCACCGACAGGGGATCGCCCGGGCCCCGCGTTCCGGCAGGGGCCAAGCATATGCACCCACGCGCGAACAACACACGGCCGCACGTCGCCCGAACGAGGTCCCGGCGACCGTTTTCCCCCTCCCACAACAGTTCGAGCAAGGATCGCGGCCTCGTCCACCCCCTCCCCCCGGGGGGGGGGGGGCTTGTTCCCTGGAGAGGGCCCGAGGCTCCGAACCTTGACTGGAGACGCCCTCGAGCCCCCGCCCCCGCCCCCGTTCGCAGCTGCACCCCCCCCTCTCCCATCCTCACCCCGGGGAGCTCGCCCACGGGCGCTCCCAATCCGCGGTACTCCCCGGCGGCCTCTTCCTGAACGCTAGACTCTTCCTACCCGAAAGCAACCCCTCCGGGCCCTCTCTGCAGCTAGTGACCCTTTCACCCAGGCCCCTCCCCCCCCCCTCCCCGGCCCCCTCTCTCCTTCTCCCCGTCTCCCTTGCTCCTCCTCCTCCCCTTCCCCCCCCCGGGTCCTTGGCAATTGTCCTGAGACCTGCCCTCCCCCTTTCCTCTCCCCTCCTTCCGGATCGTCGTGCACCCGTCCCATTTCTCCTTCTTGCCCCGTTCTCTTGGCACACCTCCCTCCCTCACATCGGCTCGTCCTTCTGACATGAAGCTCCGGCTGTCGCCGAGAAAGGTGATATCCGCGGCCGTCGGGCTATGTCTGGTAATTGCCCTCTACTCAACTGCTGATCACACTGGTGGGCCGAGCAGTGCCAGCCATGCGGTCACCCTCGCCGCTCGATCCCTGGCTTCCGGCTCCGAAGCCTCCTCCAGCGCTGCACTGACAGTACGCCTCGCAGATGCAGCATCTTCCGGCTTCGCCTGGACCCTGCCCCTCCGCCATCGCTGCCACGCCCTTGTTCTGACCAGCTTCCTCCCTGCTTTCGCGCCTTTCCATGAACCTTCCTCCCTCCCCCCCCCTCTCTCTCTCTCTCCCCTCCGCTCTCCAGTGCCGCGACGTGGTTAACTTGCCGAACTCCTGCGATCTGGTCATGGAGTATTGCAGTTCGGGCTCGTCGATCTTCGACTATTTCCACCTGCACTACTGTGCTTTGAGCAATGCCGCATGGTTCTCCATCATCATCCAAGTCCTCTGGCTTCTCTATCTCTTCGTGGCCCTGGGTGTGGCGGCTGAAAGCTTCTTCTGTCAGTCTCTCAACGTCATCTCCAGCGACCTCAAGGTGCGCCCTTCTCAATCCCGCCCCCCCCCCCTTGTGAATTCCCCCCTCCTATGTATTGACAGTACACGGACACGGACACGGACACGGACACGGACACGCGCACACACACGCACACGCGCACGCACACGCACACGCACACGCACACGCACACGCACACGCACACGCGCACGCACACGCACACGCACACGCGCACGCACACGCACACGCGCACGCACATGAAAAAAAAGCTCTCCGAGAATGTAGCTGGTGTCACCTTGCTTGCCTTTGGCAATGGCGCCCCCGACATTTTCAGCACACTGGTGGCTGCCCTTCGTGGCTCCTTCGAGCTCGCTTTCGGCGAGGTCCTCGGCGCTGGTGTCTTCATCACTACCGTCGTTGTGGGTGGCATTACCTTGGTTTCCGAATTCCGCGTTACTCGCCGGCCGTTCCTCCGTGACGTCGGCATGTACTTCATCGCCCTGGTATGTCGTTCCTTCTTTCTTCCTTCTTCTGTCCCTCTCCACCTCCTCCCGTCGTTGCGCCCCTCTCCACTCTGGCGCAGCCATTTGGCCCTCCTTTCGCTCAACCTACCCCTTACAAACCACCTCTCACCCTTGGCCACTAGATCATTGTCATGGTTGTCCTGTATGATGGCCAGCTGGAGCTGTGGGAGTCTCTCTTCCTGGTGGCCTGGTATGTCATTTACGCGGCCATCGTCATCATTGGCCGCAAGATCTATCAGCATCACAAGCGCCGGAAGGCCATCGCCGCTCAGGAGACCAATGGCCAGGCCAGCATGTCAGCTTCCTCCTCAACCGAAGATCTGGCCCAGAAGCAGGCTCCCCTGATGTCCACCACTTCCCTCGACAATCCCTACCTCCAGGACCCGGAGTCCTTCATGCCCGTGATGTCGTCCTCTTCCTCCTCCCCGCCACCACCATCGCTCCCTCCCCCGACCGAGCCCCTGTCGCTGGATGGCAACACCACCTCGTTCATGATCCCGGCCATCGTTGTGTCCAGCTCGCCGCCAAGTGCACCGGCTTCCACCGACCCGCATCCCGGCTACCATCACCTCCCTGCCCCTGTGTCGCCGTCCTCCGGTTTCAAGAACAATCTCTCGGGCCGGCCGCGTGTTCGCTCCATCACGGCCGCTCTGCAACTGGCATCAGCTGCCTCGCAGCGCCAGCAGGACTACCTTGTCCATGAGAAGCTCGCTGATCGCGAAGCCAATGGCACATACTCCTCCCTGCCGGGGCCGGGTGGCCCGGCCGACAGCGCCCCCGGCGCCTACTCCTACGGGCCAGGAGGCATCTATGATCCTCCCCTCAGCCCGTCATCGGTCATTTCACGCGGCTGGTCCTCCGCCGCTGGCACTGGAGCTCTATCACCAGCGCGGATCCGCTCTCGCCGGGGCAGCATCTCCGCTCGACTGTCGCCCATCCTCGAGGCGCCAATTTCGTGTCCCCCCTCGCCGACGGCCCTCTCGGCCCCTGCCACGCCGAGCCTCTCGCAGCACACCACCAGCCACCCCACCATGCCTGGTGTGGCCTCGCTACCGGGCGGCATCGGCCCGAGCACCCATGGGGATGTCTCCTCCCCGCACACCGGGCCGACGATTCCGCCCCCGGCCTCCGGGCTCCCTTCCGATACCTCGACTTGGATTGCCCCGGCGCCGGTGGTTCACTTTGCCCCGGCCGACGATGGCCCCACCGTGCCGGATGCCAATGCGGATCCCCATTTTTCGGAGCTCCACCCCGATTCGGCGCAGCAGCTCCGCGAGCGCGTGCGCAGTTTCATCCGCCTCATCTTCCCGCTGTATGCCAACTGGAAGGATATGACCATGTTGGCTCGTGTGGCGGCCATCATCTCGGCCCCGGTTCACTTGCTCTTTGTCGTGACCATCCCCCTATGCGAGCTGCTGGAGGAGGAGGAGGAGGAGCTGCTGGCCGAGCTGCCGGCGCCCGATCTCGGTCCGGTGCCCAGTGGCGAGGTGGTGCCCTTGGCGGGCCCGGCCGGACAGCGGGCTGTCCGATCCCTGTCAGTCGACTGCCTGTCCGCTGATGGGACCCCGGGCCTGCGGATTCCCAGTGCTGCCGGGGCCCGGCGCGGGTCCATGGTGTCGGTCGGGTCGGAGTTCACCTTCGACACGCAGCCCATCATCTGCCCCAAGGAACTCGAGGCTCTGAACATCCAGGGCGAGGGTCTTTCATCGATGCTTGGCTCTGACGCCGACGGAGATGCCGGCGAGGATGACAACACCCCCCAGCCGCCGTACAATCACATCCTCCTGTCGCTGAACTGTCTCCTGGCTCCGACCTTCTTCACCATTGGCATCGGCATCCAGAGCATCCCGATTGGCACTCCAAACTTCCCGCTCGCGCTACTGGTCTTCCTTCTGTCCATCCCCCTTGCGGCTGCCTGCTTCTGGTTCGTCCCTCGGCGAAACCCCTCCTGGTACAACGTGCGTTTCGGCCTCTTTTTCTCCTTTCTCCGTCTCCCGCTCTCCCGCCCTCCCTGTCCCCCCCGTTCTCCCTATTGTCGGCTGCCCCCGCCTGTTTTGCTCCCCCCCGGGCCCCGGTCACTCGGGCAACCTTCGGGCCGCCCGCCCGCCCGCGGCAAGGGTCCCGGCAAGGCACGAGGGCCCGACAGGGGGCGGCGTGCGAGCCGGCTGTCCGCCCTGCGCGCGCGGCCGCTACCGGCCGGGCCTGCCCCACCTCTTGCGGGGGGACATGCCCCCCCCCCCCCCCCCCCCCCCCCCCCCCCCCCGGCCGTCGGCGCCTGCCCTCTGCCGATGCGACTTCATTCTCACATCAGCCCCGCAGTTCCTTGCTTGGCCCGCCTTTCTCATCTCCATTGTCTGGATCTACCTCATCGCCAATGAGCTGGTGGCCCTGCTCCAGACTCTTGGCGTGGTCATCGGCATCAGTGACACCCTGCTGGGACTGACGGTCCTTGCATGGGGCAACAGTGTCGGCGATCTGGTGGCCAACGTCGCCATGGCTCGCATGGGCCACGCGCAGATGGCCGCCAGCGCCAGCTACGCCGGGCCCATGCTCAACATGCTGCTTGGTGTCGGCATTGCCTGTACCTTCCTGATCGCCACCACCGGCGAGCCGTACCAGGTCGGCATGAACGTCCACCTGCTCACTTCCCTGCTGACGCTCTTCGTGGTCCTGATCATCACCACCATCTATGTGGTGTATCGGGGCTTCCGCTTTGAGCGTCTGCTCGGGTGGGTGCTGGTTGGGCTGTTTGTCATTTCCACCGTCGCCAACGTGACCCTGGCCCTCGTGTGACAGATCATATGCGACCGAGCTACTGCCAACGGTCGGGCGCGGTGGTTCCCGCGTGTGGGCCCCTCCGTCGCCCGCACCCGCGCCCGCGCCCGCGCCCGCCCAGCCCCCATGCCCTTGTGTGCCCTCTCTTCCTTCGCCCCTTCCCCGTCCCCGTCTCGTGTGTCCGAGGCTGGCTGGTGGTGCGCCTGCGTGGCCAACCCCGCGGTGCAGGCGTGCCACGCTCGCACATCCGCACGCGAACCACAATACACCCCCCTAGATTGCCTTTTCCTCTCCTGCACATTTCTTGCTGCGGGGGCACCTGTGCCCATGTGCGCCGGTTCGCCGGTGTTTCTTTCATCCATTTTGGTCTGCGCCCCCCGCCCCCCCCCCCTCCCTTCATCTTGCATTTCTCTCGCAGCCCTCCGCATGCTCGGGAGATGACCGATCTCGAGGCTGGGGATTTCTCGGAGACCACGCTGCCAGCTTGGCCTCCTGGCCGTTCGTGCAAGTTGTCCCCCTCCTCCCCCTCCCTTTCTCATCCCCCCCCCCCCCCTCTCCCCTACAGCTTCTCCCCTTCTCACTATGTCCGGCAAGAAACGCGCCGTGGCCTCGACCCCTCCGCCCAGCGAGGGTGACCACGCTGGCCAGCACCCTGGTAAGCGTGCTCGCAGCGACATCACGCTCAATGCGCGGACCCTGCATCAGGTCTTGCTCGACCCGAACCCCGAAGTCCCGGCCAGGGGTGCGCATTCCCCCTCTGCCCCCTCTACCCCCTCTGTCTCCTCATCGAGCGCATTGCCCTGGCCCTTTGCCTTTCTGCCCTCCCCCCCCCCCTCTGTCTCCTTGTTTATCTAACCACTTCTTCCCATGCCGCCCACGACTAGCCCTCCCGCTCTTTGCGCCGGCTCTTCGGCGGACGTGTCTGATCGACCGTGGCATCGACACGGATCCCTCGCCTGCGCCCCTGGAAATGACCTTCCTTGTGGACTTTGCCAAGCTCGACCCGGCTGGCGAGTCCATCATTTGGTATTGGCGCAACGACGTGTCCAAGGTGCGCATGATTTTGTCCCCCCCCCCCCCCTGCCGAGCATCATCCTTCGCCTGCTCCTTCCCCCCTCAACTCCTCCTGTTCTCTCCACCTCTCTCTCTCTCTCTCTCCCCCTCCCTCCTCTAGCCCCATCGTCTAACGTAGCTCCTCAGTCGGTCCCGCCCAGCTTTGATGGGCAGCTTCTGCTCATCGCAGCGATCATGATCGAGCTGTCCACCGAGACGGCCGAGACCCGAGCTCTTGGTATCGCACTGGCTCGGTTCTTGCTTACCTCCAACCAGTGCAAGAAGCTCTACCACGCTCTGGGCGCCGAAACCTTCCCCCACCGGGAGGCCGGTCTCCATGCGCTGATCGCCATCCAGCGCCTGAGTGACAGCTTCGCCACCCAGCTCTTGGATACATTCAACTTCTCCTTCAAGCCGCTCAACCGCATCCTCTCCGGGCGGGGAGCCTGTGCCATGCCCTCGGCTTGGCAGGGTGACACTTCTCCGCGCGGGATCTACATCGGCTTCCTGATGGGCTTCTGCGGAAGCCAGAGCTCTGCCATCCGGAAGAAGGCCCTGGCCCTTAAGGCCCCGATCGCCGCGGCTCTGCGTGACCTGAACCAGGACAGCGCCCCGGTACGCCTTCCTTGTTGCACTGTTGCCGGCGCACGCCCCATGCCAATCGGACATCCTGGCCTTTCGTGGCTTCATCTCTCCCCGCCTCCCTCTGACTCGGTGTTTGCACGGTGTAGCTTGTTTTCCAGGTTCTCAAGGGCCTCTTCGAGATGCTGGTGGTGGATGATCGCCTGGCTCGGTCCCAGCGGGCCAGCTTCCTGCTGGGCCCGGTGCTGGAGGCCCTGGTCCGGCTGTTCTCCTGGGCGCCCGCCCCGCAGACCCCCGACGCGGATACCCGCATGGCTGAGGTTGTCAATGTGGTGGATTCCTTCTTCGGCAGCCTGCTTGCCACGCCCGGCGTTGGTCTGGCCCCCACCACTCATGAGGCGTGCGTTCCAGCCATGCTTCCCTTCTCCGCACCGGCCCCGTCCCGCGCCGGCCTCCATTTGTGTTTGCCTTCCCCGTCGCAGCTCCTCTCCGGGGTACATCCCTCATCCTGGGCTTTTGCTGACGTACCATGTGTCTCCTCTTCCTCTCTCTTTTTCCCTCCAGGAATGCCCTCTTTGTGAAGTTCTTTACCGGGGCCGAGGAGACCCGCAATACGCCCCAATCCTTCTCGGTGGCTCTGCGTGTTCTTGGGATGCTGGACCCCACGGCGGAGCTTCGCCAGTCGGATCTCCTGATGCGCATCCTGCACGTGCATCCTTTCCTGACCGCCAGGTAGGCACGCCCACTCATGCTCATCTGCGCTCACGCCCATGCTTGTGCTTACGCTCATGCCGATCCCCCCTCTCTCTCCCCCCCCCCCACACACACACAATCGCGCATGTTTGATGCGCATCCTCTACCCGTCGTCCGGTTTGTCCTCTCTCTGATCCTCCTGGCTTGTCCCCCGCGCTCGTATGCCCGGTCACCCAGCTTCTGGCGGCAGTTCACCTTCTCGCCGGACCCGCGCCCCTCGCTCAAGTGGTTTTCGGCCATCACCTTCATGTCCAAGGTCATCGCCCTCGACCCGCCGGCTTTCGAGGACCCGACGAAGCCCCTGCCCGCGTCGGCCCTCGCCGACTTGATCATCCCCACCTGGCTGTCGCGCACCGCCCTGAGTGCGGCTCTGCAACATACCGAGCCCCTGGTTCGCTATTTCGCCCTTTCCGTCCTCAACACCATTTTCCAGAAGTTCAAGCGTGTGGTGACGCTGCTGGAGGAGGCCGATCGCGCGGTCGAGGGTGCCGGGGATGCGCTTGCTGGTGCCTGGACCCGGACGACCATCGAGCTGCGTCAGCTTCTCCGCCGGCGCCTGCCCGACTTCCAGGTGATTCAGGCTCAGCAGGCCCGTGTGAGCCAGGTGTTCGCCGCGGATCACCAGGCTGGGCGCAAGTGTGCGCTCCTTTCCTGGCCCTCATATATTCTCCTGCCCGCCTCCCGCTGCTCCCTCTCCCTCTCACACACATACGCACACAGCCTCTTCTGTTCTTCTGTATCTGGCGTCGCTGTCCGCCCTGCTGAGCTTTGCACAGAACTTGCCGGAGGCGGCCATCGAGTCGCGCTTCGATCCGGCTCGTCTTTTCCCGACCGCCGAGATCCTGCGCGCCATGCCGCAATCACTTCAGCTCCTTCACTTGCGCATCCTGCCTCTGCTGCCGGTGTCGGCCTGGGAGAAGACCCCGGCCTTTGGCCTGGCTAATGCCCTGGTGGCCGAGGCTGATGCCATGCCAACCCCGCCCGCCCGCCTGGCCGCCCTGTCGGCTGATGGCCCGACCACTGGACCGCTCCTCCTGGCTGCCGCCACCATCCTCGCCTTCCACCATGTCTATTTCCAGCGTCTTGGTGCTCCCACTCCTGGCGTGTATCTCTGGTTCCGCCATTACTTCCTCCAGAAGGCTACCAACTTGGAGGCCGAATCCGCCCCCCTGTGCGCCCCCTCCCCCCCCCCCCCTCCCCCGGTCGCCAACTAGATTCGCCCTCGGGTTGCTTGCTAACCTCCTTTCCCGCTCCCCCGCCCCCCTGCACCTCCCCCTCCCGTTGATTTCATTCCTTCGTGGCCCGCTCAAATACCACCCCCTCAGCCTTCAAGTCCAGATCCCGCCGCACACCTGGATCCGCTTCTTCGCCGAGCACGGCGTCCTGGCTCGGCCGGTGGTCCTGCGCTTCCTGCTGGTCGTCCTCAATGGCGCAGCCACGCGTGATCTTTCCGAGGCGGCCCTGCTCGGCATCCAGCGTCTGGCCGCCGCGCCGACCGGCAAGTCGGCCGATGCATCGACTCAGCAAACCCTGGCCGCCATCGTGACGGCCTGCTTCCGGCGCCTGCATGTGCTGGCTGGCACCGCCTCGGACCAGGCCTCGGTGACCGTGGCCCCGGCCGAGGCATTGGCTCAGCTGGCCTCTCAGGACCTCTTCTCGCCATCTGCCTGGCACGCCCTGCCCGGGAGCCTCCTGCTCTCGTGCGAGCTGGCCAGTGGGGGTCTCCTGCCCGAGCCCAAGCACCGCGAGCTGTGTGCCTGGCTCAAGGCCCAGACCGAGCTGTTTGCTGCCAGCCCGGCCACTGATGTACGTGCATCCATGGCTCTTGCCCACGTGCCGGCCGCCCTCTCGGCGATCGATTCTGACCGAAGTAAGTTGAACAAAAAATGCCCCCCCCCCCCCCCCCCCTCTCCCCCTCCCTCCGCCCGCCTCAATGCAGTGCCCCTCTCTGCGCCCGGTGATCCTCTTCTTCGCCATGAATAAGCTGTTCTCCAACGACGAGCAGGCGGCCGTCATCCGGGCCATCTTCCAGATGGCCGACGTCGCCGGCGATAACAAGGCCGAGTCCAATGTGAGCCTCGTTGTTCGACGCATGGTCCTCTCGGCAGGCGCCCTGCTGACGCCGAAGCTCCAGCTCCTGTGGGCTCTGCCGCCGGCTGGCGCCGAGGCCGCCAGCCCGGCCGAGCAGCAGCTTGTTCGATCGATCACCGATTCGCTGTCCTCGCTCGCCAACGCCGCCCCGGCGTCCGATGTGGAGATGCGCCCGGCCGAGGGGGAAGGCTCGGCTCTCGAGGCGGCCTTCCGATTCATCGGTGCCGATGCCGGTGGCGTCCCGTCGATGGAGACGACTGATCTTTTGCTCCAGCAGCCCGGTTCCCTGGGCGAGCGCGACCTGAACACCCTCCTGCAGGTGGCCACCGCTGTGCTGACCCAAGCGGACCTCCTTTGCCAGGCTCTGCAGCCCGGAGACCACCAAGAGCCGGGCTCGCTGGCCGACACGCCAGCTGCCGTGAAGGCCCTGCAGAGGGTGCCCCTCCTGGCGGCGGCCCTGAATGCCCTTCGTCGCGGGCTCCTGCCCCGGATCAGCCCCTGGGCCAATGGGGCCGGTGGCCGCACCGGCGGCTCCGGTGGACGTGGCGTCTTCCTGGCTCTCTCCTCCACCAAGAGCGTCTTCTTTGAGGCGGTGATCCAGGCTCCGGCCCTGATGGCGGTTCTGCGTTCGCGCGATGCCCGGGTTATGCCGGCGGTCGAGGCGACGGCTGCCCTGCTGGCCGGCGCGGCCGACCTTGTCTGGCCATCGCGCATGGACATCAACGGTCGCGCCGGGATCGGCGGCCGGTCGACCCCCCTGGCCGATGCGGATGTCCTGCCGGTGTCCGCTTCGATGGTGTCCCGGCTGCTGCGCGTGTACCAGGGCACTCAGCATCATGTGGATCGGCTCCTGTTGGCGGTTCTCCTGCGCCTGGAGGCGTGGGGCTGTGTGGTCCTCGGGCCGTTGGCCCTGTCGCACTCGGGCTTCGCCGCGTCGCTCATCGACGAAATGGCCCGGTCGTCTGTGTCGCAGTCGCGCGCGGCCCTGCGAGGCACTGTGCAGGGTCTTGTGCAGGCAGTCGACCCGACCCTCATGGCGGCCAGTGTGCGGTCCTTCGATCCGCTTTCCACCCTGGAGGCCCCGGCCATCGAGGGGCTGCTGGAGGCCTTCGATGCGCGTGGCAGCCAGGCCGACGGGGCCCGCCGCCGGTCGGCCATGCAGCGCGGTGCCTATGACCCGGCCTTCTTCATTCCCCTGCTCTTTGCCCTGCTGGCGCAATCCATCCCGCATATTCGCCCTCCGCGGGACCGCAGTGGGGCGGCCGGTGCGGCGGCCGCAGCCGCCGCGGCCGCCGCCGAGGACGAGCTCATCGACCGCCATGATGCGGCCCTGGCTGCCGGTGAGGATGTCGGTGCGCGGCCCCGTGTGTTCGGACACAAGGACCGGCCCCGTGGTGGCAGGCAGTTTGATCGCGATGGCGCCGACACCTGGGTGGCCCCGGAGACCGGGGCTCCGGTGGTCGGCCCGGTGCTCCGTCGTCTCTTCGAGAGCAACTGGGCCAGCCTGCTGCTGGTGTGCCTGTCCTCCTCGCAGCCGTGCGTCCGTGGTGCTGCCGGTGCGGCCCTCTCCCTGCTTCGTCGGCATGTGGCGCAGGCTCCCTTCCGGAACAGCTCCCAGGTGTGCTTGGTGCTGGACATCTTCCGGAATTCGGTCTCCGCCTGCGAGTTGGCCGCTTCGGGTGGGCGTCCCATCAACACCGAGTCCATTCCCCCCCGCGCATCGTCGGTGGTGGCGCACTTCCTGGCCCGGGCTCTTGGGGTCATGCTCCAGCCCGAGCATCCCATGTTCCCGGTGCTCAACCGGCACTTCCTCCAGCGGTCGCATCTGTTCTTCGATGTGCGTTGCCCCCTTCTCCTCTTGGATTGCCCTTCTTATGGGGTTTTTTCATGCTCCCCCCCCCCCCCTCAAGCAGCGGCCTCCAGCCGGAGGCCTGTGCGCCCTCGAGCGTTGTCTGACATTGTCCCCTGCTTTCGCCCTCATCCCCCCCCCCCACACACACGCGCGTTCTCTCCCCCCCCCCCCTCTCTCTCTCCCACTCTCTCTCCCTGAAGGATGTTCCCCTCTTCTACAACCTCTTCTTCTCCACCTCCCCGGAGCACTTCCGCAGCGAGCGTCTGTGGCTCTTGCGCCTGGTGGCCGAGAGCCTGCAGCCCGGCCTCGTGGACGATGTGCGCCCATACAAGCGTCGGCATGTGTTCTCCCTGCTCCAGACGCATCTGGACTCGGACCAGGCTTCGCCGGCCACTCGGCGCTTTGTGATGCTGCTCCTGACTCGGGCGCTGTTTGGCTCGGAGCGTGACACGCTGGCCGGGGCCCTGCGCCGGGATGTCGGTGATGCCTTTGGCGCCACCACCACCGCCGAAGGCATGGACATGTATTCGCCGATGCGCTTCTCTGCCCGGCGGCCAGCCGCGGCCAACCCCGCTGTTCGGGCGCTGCTCATTCGTGGCGGCCTGGTTCCCTGGCTCACGACGCTCCTTTCACGCTCGGACCCCGTGCAGCTGTACCCCTCGGCCGATGCCGGCGGTGTGCCGCTCTTTGCGGTTGCCGCGCGCCTGCTGGTCGCGGCGATGGATGCCCTCCTGCAGCTGGTTGTCCGACAGATCCAGAAGGAATCCGCCGACTCGTCGGATAGCGACAGCGCAAGTGACAGCGACAGCGACAGCGACGAGGAGATGGAGGTGGAGCAGTCTAGCTCGGATTCCGACTCCGACTCCGACTCCGACTCCGACTCCGATTCGGGTGTGAAGTTGCCCCAGCGCAAGGTGGACCTTCCCTCGACCCCGGCCACCCCGTACAGTGAGCCGGCCTTCAGCCCGGCCGCCAGCACGGGGGCTTCCAATGCGCTGACCACCCCCCTGTCAGCGCAGCTCCTCATCCAGTGCCAGCAGGCCGCGCATGCCCTTGTGGCTGCCCTGCGCAAGCACTTCACCGAGGCCGATGTGAGCCCCCTCGCGACGGTTGCCAGCTTGAGTGCACCGAGCGTGGCCCAGAATGCCCTCCTGTCGTCGACCATCGCCGCGCTGCGCCTCCTCGCTGACAGCGGTCTTGTCCGTGTGGAGGGCATTCAGGATCTGCATGCCGCCACCAAGGCCACTTCGACGCCGGCCGCCTCGTCCGATGACGAGGAGCAGGACACCCTGAGCGCCGTGGACGAGCACCTGAAGGTTGTCCTGACGGCCGAGCAGCTGCTTCTGGTGTCCGCCTGCTCGGATCGCCTGCTCCAGGTGGCGGCCAGCGGCGCTGCCCCGGCTCCGCTGTCGGCCGTTCCGCCGGCCGATGATGGCTCCAGCATGGCCTGCTGCCAGTGTGACAATGCCCTCGGCTACAGTGATGTGGAGGAGAGCATCGACGTGCGCCGCCGTCAGGCGGCCGGCGATCTTGATGACGAGTCCGACGATGACGAGGGCAGCTCGGCCCTCGAATCTGCCTCGCTGGCCCCGGTGGCCACCGGGACCGAGGCGGCCTCGGTCACCAGCGAAGCGGCTGGCCGTGTCGCGGCCATCCCCTGCCTCGCGCGCCTTTCCTCGGCCGAGCGTATCCTCACCGCCGACCACTGGGCTCTGGTCAAGACCCCGGCTGGTGGTTTCACCACCTGCGCCTTCTGCTCTCTCCCGCATGCTGGCGGGGCCGGCTCCGCCGCTCCTGGCGCCGCCGAGGTGCACCCCGTCCGTCGGCAGCTCTTCGGCCTGCTGGCGGCCCTGAACGCCATTGCCTAGTTAAGACGCCCCTGCCGTGTGACTCGGCTGAGATCACGCGGACCCGTCTCGGGCCAAGCTAGGGTTTCTCCTGGTGTCCCCCCCCCTCCGTATCCCTCCCACCTAGACCTTCCTTTTCTCATCTTCCGCACGAATACACACTGTCTGTGTCCCTGCATCGAGTGCGCGCATGCACGCATGCGTGTGTGTGTGTGTGTGTGTGTGTGTGTGTGTGTCTGCCTTTCTCTCCGTCCAGCGTGAATGTGGCCCCCGGTCCGGGCCGGCTGGTAAGACGTGTGGTTGCTGTCTGTCTTCCGGGCCTTCGCTTGTGGGCGCGGGGCCGGCTCGCTCTCGATTTTGGAACAGAAACCCCACAATTGCGCCCCAACAGCCTGATCCCTCCCCCCCCCC